GGGTCGATAATGTCTTGAAATTGGTCACATATGGGCAATGGTAGCTTGCTAGATTTATAAAAAAAACATTTTATGTCGTCCAAAACCAGCCCTATATTGATTAGTCTTGGTGATTGGCTGTTTGTTGTTGTAAGTGTGTAGAGCACGTGTCATCCGTGCATTGGTGTTGTAGCAGGTATCACATGCGTAGCGGATTAAAGACGCGATAGAGCGAATAAAACACGTGATGACGTGTTTTGTTGTAACAGCGCTAAGCTGATGCGATGTTTAAGCCTGATTCATTAAATCAGGCGCTCAATAATCCATTCAATGTTTTCACGGTGGAGTAGAAAGAGGAAGACCAGGACTAAAAATTAACGGGGCGACACTGCCACCGATGACTATCCACATTTCCGGTGATTAAAACCAACTACCAAAAACTGTTTCATTTCGTTCAATCAGCCTGTAAGTCGCCAAGTCTAACCTACTTTTCGATGTCAAGTCTTAGAATTGGTTTCACATTTCTTACGCAATTGCTTTGTGTCTTGTCAAATAGGCGGACGAGGATGCAAGCCAGCACTCCGGCGCTGACGCCGATTCGGAGTTCACGTCGGCCATTTACGGTGAGATGGCCAAGTCGCCACGAAGCATCATCACCGAGGAGGATGTTGCTCACGGCGGTGGAGCAACAGGTGACTCCAGCTCCACCACGAATGTTGGCGGCAGCGCCAACGTAGTCCCCATGGATACCTCCAACCCGCTGACGTCTTCCGTCCCGGCTTCATCTGCATCGGCGGCTACCACGGCTATCAATGTAGGTTTTTTCTCCTTATTCCTGTTCTAGGACTCAAATTCCTGTTTCCTATCTGCACATGTTTGCTCAACAGGCCCCTCCTGCAGGCAAGAAGTCAAAGGCAAACAACGCCGCGACACGTCGTCATCTTAACCTTGGCGTTGGGGGCTTCCGTGCCAGACCTACTCGCGTGTACCAGGTATGTTATAGTATTTGTGTGTTTTCTGGCCAGTTTAA